GTGAGTTCGAGCCCTACACTGGGTGTAGAGATTACTTAAAAATAAAATCCTTGAGAAAAAAATGAAAGAAAAAAAATAAAGCCTGGAAAGTTTGCCTCTTCCCAAGGCGATCTTGAGTCTAGATACTACACCAGCAAAATTTGCAGTAAAGGAGAGAGAAATTGGGTGGTAGCCTGAGGGGAGAGTCGGGTAAGGGAGTTTTCTTTTTTAAAGATGGGAGGACACGCATGGTCGCAGGCTGTTAGTAGTGGTCCAGGAGAGAGGGGATGCAGATGGCCCGGGGCGAGGGGCACTTGCCAGAGCGAGGTCCCTAGAAGGGTGAGGAAGAGGGGTTGATGTACAATCGGAGGAGCTGGGCTCAGGCCAGGGTCTGGACAGGTCAGTCAAGATAATGGGAAGACAGGTGGAGTCCGTGGGGGTGGGGTGGGGGATGCAGCAGTGGGGCTTTTGGACCCACGTTTCTGTTTTCTTAAAGAATGAGGACGTGAGGTCACGCACTGAGTGGGGATGGGGAGGTGGGGGCGTGTTAGAAGAGAGGAGAAGCTAGGAAGTAGTTGGCTGGGGCAGTGGTGAGGGGCTAGGCCTGCGACACCTGAGCGGGTCCGGGACCGTAATCAAGAACCTGAAGAAAAGCCAGCCAGCAGGTGTGCCCCCCCTCCCCCCCCCCCGTGCCAGCCACTGCGGCCAGGCAGGTACAGGTGAAGCCAGGTGTGTTCACATCCCCCAGCCCGACTAAACTTGAGACTGATCAGGCCTGACTCTTTGCCCCCCCTCCCCCCGCCGCTTAGCCAGGCATCTCCCCCTTCTTAGAGAATTTACTTTAGAAAACTTGTAACTGCAGATTCTTTCTCTGCCCCTTGGAGATGTAAATCTTTTAAAAGCCTCCTGCCAGTGTTACAACCCAGAACTGTCTTTCTCAAGGATGTGGGCGCTATCCCTTTGACACGTACCAATCCAAGGAGATGCCAGCCCATCTCCCAGTCTCTGTGGGAGGGTAGAAGCCTAACTGATGTAGGTGCCTCTCCGCGAACACACGTGGCCTAATCACGTTGATCAGTGTCCCCCTCACGTCTTCCAGCACTTTGCCACCAGCTCACGCCAACCCTTCAGCAGTGGGGCTCTCATGACCACCACCAGAGCCCTGAACAGTCTTCCCTGATGGGGTGGCTTTGTCCAAGGAAGGTTTGCCCTGCCCCTTCCTTCTGGGCTTTGGTTTCCGATCCAGGGAGGCTGCAAAGCAAAGGTTCTCATCTTTCCGGGAAGGTGGGGGGGAGGGGCACACGCTGCAGGGAAAGCATTCCTGCGTGCATTTCCGTTCTTGCTCTGGCCTGGTAGTTACTTATTGCTTTATGGCTTCCTGGATGCTTTTGAGCAGAAGAAAACATTTTTATCCTGCTTAATTTCAGTTGTTTCCAATGAAGGGTTGATATGAATAACACGAGAAGGAGGAATCAGTCATGACCTTTGGGATTTCTCTGCTTACCCTCTCTCCAGTGCCTGAGACCCGGTGTCCCTGAGCTAAAGTGCTCCTCTCTCCCTCCACCCCTCCCAAACATGGGCCTCCCACAGCTCTGTCTCCACGAAGGCACTAGAAGTGCCTCATATCCCACAGCCAATCGGCCTGGGATGACCACGAGCCTCATTATGTGAATGAGAAAATTGTGTCTCTTCTTCAAGTGAAACATTTATAAATAAGCACATTATTTCTTAATAATTACTGTAACAGACAAGGACTCTGTTTGAATAAGACTTTTCATTCCATCAGAAAACTGTCAAAATATACAAATTCAGTTACAAGAGACTTCACTACCATCTGCCAAAGTTGTAGTAAACATACAATTCCCATTGATGAAGTTAAACATATAACACAACTTTTTGAAATAAGGCATTGTCTATGTCGTGAACAGCACTCCCTTTGATGTGGTAGCCTGAATTAGCCTCTTTAAAATTTATTTCATTGTTTCCATCTTTTAAATATATCATCAATCTGTTCCTTTTTCCATTGCGCATCGAGCTTGGACTATTGCAGTACCCTCTAGCTGGTCTTCCTACCTCCAGCCTGACCCCACCTCCCCACACGCCCACGCTGCTCACAGCACGCTGAACCTGAACGCCTGTGGGGTTTGCCGTTCTCCCTCTGCCTGAATGTCCTTTGCAGGGAAATTTCTACATACCCGTCATGACTTAGGATAGGCAGAAGCTCCACTGTGCAGATTCTCCCGTGTGTCTTATAATGTCCTCCATGACAGTACCTGCCACAGAAAATGAATGGTTTATGGATTTGTTTCTGTTTGTTTCCCCACTTGGTTGTTTCTCATCTTGTAGGATTTATGGAGCTTCCTCTTTGCTCCCATGGCACCCTGAACACATCTCTATGACAGTACACGTTCTATTTTTCCTTAACCGTAGTTCAGTCCCTCTTCCCATCATTTGACTGATCTCCTTCAATGGAGATTTGTCTTTTTTTTTTTTAAGATTTTATTTATTTATTTGAGAGAGAGAGAATGAGAGACAGAGAGCATGAGAGGGAGGAGGGTCAGAGGGAGAAGCAGACTCCCTGCCGAGCAGGGAGCCCAATGCGGGACTCGATCCCGGAACTCCTGGATCATGACCTGAGCCGAAGGCAGTCGCTTAACCAACTGAGCCACCCAGGCGCCCCTGGAGATTTGTCTTGAAGGTCTTTGAGCCCCTCTGTCTAATACGGTGCCTGGCCTGGGAGACTCCTCCTTGTTTGTATAGTTTGTGTCTCGCAGGCTTATATGATTTTTAGAAGTCCAGCCCTCTCCCTCCTCACCCGCTCTGAGAGTAAGCTGCTGGGGAAACGGTCTTGCTGCCCCTGTCATTAGCCACAAGGCCACTAGGGGGCAGGAAACACCCATCCTTTCCTAGATGCAAGCCCAACCAGCCTTCCCCACAGAATTCAATTTTCCACAAGCCCATGTGCTGAAAGATCATTTTGCAAAATGGTCAACTCAGCAGATAATCAGCTTGCCAAGTCAATGAGGAATTACTTGAAGTTGTGGTTTTACTCAGAATGCTCCCCAAATGCGTAATGTTTCAGAAGAAGCGAGCTTTTCCTGAACTCAGTCTACTATTTTCTCTATTTTGGGGAAATGATATTCCACTAGGCTATGACTCTCTGCCTCTGAACTGACCTCCACTTCTGGGAGTGGCACAGCTGGGATGATCACAGGGTGGGATTGAAGGCTTTTTGTCTGATTATTTGAATGAACTGATTTTATGTGAATTGACCTAGCACCCCAAAGAGGGTGGGGATTGTTTCTAGAACAGGTCCTTCTTACTAGGAGCATAGATTGGGTGGGGAATGGTAGAGGCTGCCTTTTTTTTTTTTTGGTTAGGATTTTATTTATTTATTTGAGTGAGAGAGAGAGAGAGTAAGAGCAGGGGAGGGGAGGGGCAGAGGGAAAAGCAGACTCCCCATTGAGCAGGGAGCCCGACTCAGGGCTCAATCCCAGGACCCTGGGATCATGACCTAAGCCGAAGGCAGACGCTTAACTGACTGAGCCACCCAGGTACCCCTGCGAGAGGCTTTTCTCACCAAGATGTAGCCTGTGTAGACCCGAGTCCTTGGTGGGCAGGGCCAGTATCTCCAGGTTTTCTTTGGCTTCCTAACGAGATGGAACATGAAGACCAGCCCAGAGGGGAGGTGGACCCCCTAGGATGGAGCAGCCCCTCAAAACCTGCTCAGCCCCCCCCCTCCTCTGGGTCTCTCTCTGGAAGTCTCAGCACCACCTCAGACATTTCAAAGACCAAGCCTGGTGTGATAGTGTGAGCTCAAGTCCATGGGTCATCAGCTTCTGCATTCCCGTTAAAAGTGTTGTCACAAGGATGAACCTCCAGGACACGACCTGTGCTAAGTGAATAAGGCTAGTCACAAAAGGGCAAACACGGTCTGATTCCACTCATATGAAGTATCTAAAGCCCCCCAGATCATAGAAACAGAAAGTAGAAGGGCGCCTGTGTGGCTCAGCTGGTTAAGCATCTGCCTTTGGCTCGGGTTGTGATCCCAGGGTCCTTGAATGGAGCCCCTTGGGGGATGGAGCCCCATGGGGGACTCCCAGCTCAGAAGGGAGCCTGCTTCTCCCTCTCCCTCTGCCCCTCCACCAAGCTCTCTCTCAAATAAATAAATCAAATCTTAAAAAAAGAAAGAAAGATAGAAAAAGAAAGAAACAGAAAGTAGAGAGGTGCTTACCAGGGGCTGGGGGAAGGGGAGGGGAATTAGGGGCTAATGGGCACAGTTTCATTGTTGCAGGGTGGGAAAGTTCCGGAGCTCTTTGCACAACAACGAATGTATTTGAGGCTCCTGAACTGTGCACTTAAAAATAGTTAAGATGGTAAATTTATGTAATGTTATGCCTGCGTTGCCTTTTTAAAAAGCCATAATAAAATAAGTCTTTCTCAGTGTTCCACTGCCTTCTGCAGCAGGGAGCTTTCCCAAACTATTACCACTCACAAAAAGGGTTTCGTTTATAAACCACTGGGAAGCATGGAAGCTCTAGCGTTTCAAGTGTCTCACTAGCTCTAGGAAGGAACCTCTTAGCCTGGGAAGCAGAGCGTTCCCCAGGTCGGGCTGGAGGGTCCCCTGGAGGGGTGTGAGGAATTTGTTGGAGGTGCGGGAGGGAGAAAGAAATCAGCGGCTTCCCGGTTTCCGCAGTCTCGGGGAGGGGTCTGGGAGCCCGGGTGGCGGAGATCACCTGGAGAGGAAGCGCCTGCTGGGCGCCGTCCCCGTCCCCGCACTGGGCTGCCTCGGCTTCTGCAGGCGTCACGACGCCCGTCCCGGGGACGGGAGCCCCTGCACAGTGACCTCGCTGCGGACCCTCCCGAAGCTCGGCTTGGGCCCCAGCCCGAGCCTCCGCTCTCCCGTCCCCGCCCGCCTGCCCTTGGGTCGGGTCGCTCGGACCTGGCACCCGTGCGAGCTCCACCCCCCAACCCGCCCGCCGGCCCGTGGCGTCGCGTTTGTACATCAGCCTAGAAACCTCTTCCTGCGCGGAAGTACAGTTTGTCAGACAGATCCCGCCCCTGCCGCGCCGGGCTCGCCGCGGCTTTCTCTCCACGCTGCCCGCGGGGACCTCACGGACTCCCCAGAGCCATGGAGCCTGCGACGCTGCCGGGGACCGGATCGAGGTGCGCGCGCGCCGGCGCGGGGGGTCGAGGCGGCGGCAGGTGGCGGCCAGCGCGGGCAGCGGGGCCCCCTGGAGGGCGGGCAGCGGGCTCGGCTCCGGGCAGCCAGCCGCTCAAGGCCGGCCTGGGGGGCGGGAGGTGGGGCTCGAGGGCTGGCGCGCGGGTCGCGGCCTTCCAGGGGGAGGGCGTCGTCGCGGGGCGCCCCAACCCTCGTGGGGGCCGATGGCAGGGCCTGGTCTGGGCCGGAGGGAGCCCGTGGGAGGCCCTGCGAAGCTGGCAGCTCAGACTCCGGTCTTCCACGTCCACTTTTCTAGTATTTTCCTCCCCGTGCACTGTTGGGTCCCGTTAACTGAGCACCGAAGGTGCCGGTGGTTGCCCAAAACAAGACTCTGATTTTACCTGCATTTAAGCCTCCTAGGCTCTCACCTTTGAACTCTTTCTCCTCCTCCTGATGACTGACCTGCTGGGCTGGGACTGAGTCCTGCCCAGGCTGGGCTCTGGAAGCTTCTCTGGCCATCTTTGTCTGTGGGTGTGAACTGCCCCTTAATGTGGGACAGATCCCACACCATTGGGAGCTTTGCTTGGATGGCTGAAGCCACGGCCCCCTTGGGCTATATCCTGAGAAGTGCAGGCTGCTGGAGAGTCTCAACTAAAGTTTTGGAGAGCAAGTTGTCTTTTTTCGTCTCCGTTAACCTGCTGGGGTGTCCCGAACGGTCTGGGAGATGATCCGAGGGGAGTGTGGGTAAAGGAGAGAGTGAGGGAAGGGGGTGTTTTGGCTCCTTTTTGTCCTTAAAAGTGTTTTTGTATGCTGGGGAGAAAATGCCACAGGTTGGCAACTGTCCACATGGAGGTGGGTGGGTCCTGATTCAATATGGCGGCCTGGCTAGGAATTTAGCAAAGACTAATTTAGTCACTGTGATGGACAATCATGTAAAACAGTGGAGCTGAGGTGAGAAATAAATTCCTTTCTTCTTCAGACCTGCTGGAGGTGTCTGCGTCCTTCAGCTATGTACCCATTAGTGTCTTTTTTTTTTTTTAACGTAAAAAAAATTGATGTACAAAAAATACCACTTCACTGGCTTGGGATACAATATAAAGTTACTTCTCTTTTTTGTTTTTTAAGATTTTATTTATTTGGCAGAGAGAGAGAGAGAGAGAGAGCACGAGCAAGGGGAGCTGCAGGCAGAGGGAGAGGGAGAAGCAGTCCCCCTGCAGAACAGGGAGCCTAACTCAGGGCTCCATCCCAGGACTCTGGGATCATGACCTCAGCCAAAGGTAGAGGCTTAATGGACTGAGCCACCCTGGAGCCCCCAAGTTACTTCTCTTTTATTATTCAAAGTGATATCACTACATCAAAAACTAATGATGTACTAATTGAACATAATAATAAAAAATAAAATAAATACCTAATAAAGCAGAATGAAAATGAAAAAAAAAAGTGACATCACTTCAATCTCCCTCTTCATTTCTGAGAACTGTTTTTCCTCCTTTCGTCACCCCTCTCCCCCATGATCATTCATTTAACACCACTTAGGGAATGTATGCTACCTGCCAGGCACAGTATTAGGACCTCGGGACACAGAACAAGACAGGCGTGGTCTCTGTGCTTATGGAGTTTCATACTAAGAGTGGTAGAGAGAAAAGAGAACATAGAAGCTAGACAGTAAATACTATCAGATAGGAACAGCATCATGAACAAAGCCAAGGAGACTAAGGGGGATGGAGAGTTAGGGAGAGGGTCTCTTCATTCAGGGCTGTGTCATGGTACAAAGGTACTCTTAGAAGTGTCCCAACAGTGATTGGACCTCAGCTACCAAAAAGTCTGTTTCTCCTTGGTGTGACAGCTCTGAGGTGTGTGTTCTAGGCGAGGCGGCTTTGCCTCCTGCATCCTGTGGAGATCCAGAGATGCAGATCTAGAGAACAGCCCATCTGTGGCCGGATGAGCTTCTCTGCACCTCACTCAGTCCACTGCATTTTTTTCGTGGTGGGCTTCTGGGCGGGGGGAGGAGGAGTCTGTGCACTGTCTTCTCCGGCTTCTCCCAGCCGCAGGGCTCTCCTGTCCCACTCTTCAGTTCCTTCAGCTGCTCGTCTTCGTTCTTCAAGTCCATAGCCATCCACTCAGTCACAAGCAGGTACTTAGCAGCGAATGCCTTCTCTAAGCTGTAGATGCGGTGGTGAACAAACCAGGGCAAGTCCTCCTTCTCACGGGACTTACCTTTCAGTGGTGGGGAGACAAAAAAAAAAAAAAGCGATAAGCAAGTCAATGCACCATGTGAAAGGTGGTTGCTGTGGTTGCTGGGGAGAAAAATAGAACGGGGTGGGAGGGGACATGGAATGCTTGTGGGATGCAGCAGGGAGGGTTGCTCTTAATTATAGGATGACTGCAGGAGGCCTTCTGCACCACAGGGACACTACAGTAAAGACCTAAAAGAAGGGAAGCTGCCTTGCACAAGTCTGGGGGAAGAATGTTCTAGCTCAGATGAACAACCAGCACAGAGCCCCAAGGTTGCCTGTTTGGGGAACAGCAGGGAGGCTGATGTGACTGCAGCAGACAAAGCAAGGTGGAGAGGGGTGGGGAATGAGATGGAGAGGCAGCTAGAGCCCAGATTGGGTAGGGTCTTGTTGACCACTGCAAAGGCTTTGCCTGTTACTTCAAGTCAGTGGGAAGCTATTGGGGGATTTTAGGCTGATGAAGGACGTTATCTGTCTCTTGTTTTGGTAGGAGCACACTGGCTGTTGATGGGCAATAGGCTCTAGAAGGGTGGAAACAGGGGGACCAGAGAGAGTGGTATTGCAGAAGTCCAGAAAAGAGCTCATGATCAGTCCAATCTGGAAAAATCACAGAAGGCTTGACATGGAGGTGACACTTCAGCTAAGTGGTAAAGAATGGGGAGGAGTTTTCCAGACAGACAGGAGAGTGGTGCAGAGAAGGGCATGCTGGACCTTCTGGATACCCGGAGCCTAGGTGGTAAAATTGAGGTGGGGTCCCTGATTGGGAAAGGCACCCCCAATTGCCAGTTACACATTCTTTTTAAGCCCACGTGAAACATTTACAAAAATTTTACTGGGCTAAAAAGTAAATCTCGACCAGTGACAAATATTTTATACAGATGTTGTTCTCTGACCAGAGAGTAATAATATTAGAAATAAATAAAACGATAGCAAATCTCCCAACACATTTTTAAATTTGATAATCTCTTCTCCTAATTTACGGATCAAGAAGAAATAATGGTTGAACTTAGAACATGTTTAAAACTGACCAAAAAAAGAGTGGGGAGGACAACAACGCTATGAAAATGTCAGTTCTAAAACTAAGCTACACATTCAATGCAATGGCATTCTAGCTTTCAACAGAGATTTCCTAAAGACAAGGACAACTGATTTTCAAAGTCCTACAGGAGATTAAAAAACCAAGAAGAGTGTGACAATTTTGAACAATAGCAAAGTGTTGGGACCTACCTGATGGATCATGTAATGAAGACTTAAAGTTATATTTTAAGTAGAATAATATTAAGTCATTTTGGTTTTAGTAAATAAGGCTTTCTGGTTCAGGAATAGACTGAGAAAGCATCTAATGGACAGAACAGACAACCTAGGCATAAACTTGAGGAAATTAGGGCACATGGTACCTGACAGAATCATTTGAAAAAGGATGGACTGTTCAAGAAATGGTGCTGGGAAACTCGGCTCTTCAAGTGGATCCTGATTCAGTTGGGAATGCTGATCTTCAACTAATGGTGGCTTACACCGGTGCTTCTCAAACTTGAGTGTTCGTGAGAAGCACCTGGAACTTGTTGAGTTACAGATTCTCATTCAGGAAGTTTGGGTGGAGACTGAGATTCTGCATTTCTGACATGGTCTCAATTATTGACAATATCGCTAGCCTGTGAACCACGATTTGAGTAGCAACAGCTAGATCTTTAGAATACCAGCTGTTTACTTAACAAAAAGGTGATCTCAGGGCACCTGGGTGGCCAGTTGGTTAGGTGTCTGCCTTTGGCTCAGGTCATGATCTCGGAGTCCTGGGATCGAGCCCCACATCGGGCTCCTTGCTTGGCAGGGAGCCTGCTTCTAACTCTCCCTCTACCATTCCCCCCACTTGTGCTCTCTGGCTCTCTCTCTCTCTCTCTCTCTCTGTTAAATAAATAAATAAATCTTAAAAAAAAAAAAGGTGATCTCAAGGATGTTTTGGCAGCTTAGTGATGTCATCAGGGATTCTTTTCTCTCTCTGCTCTGCAGTCCTTCAGTGTGACGGCACACGCTGACCTTTTGTTCTCTTGTTGGTTACCTCATTGCCTCCTGATATCTGCTGTGATTCCAGATATCACATTTATTTTTTTAAAAGATTTTATTTATTTATTTGAGATAGAGAGCAAGAGAGGAAGCACAGTGGGGGGCAGAGGGCGAGGGAGAAGCAGGCTCTCCACTGAGCAGGGAGCCTGAAGTGGGGCTCGATCTCAGGATCCTGGGATTGTGATCTGAGCTGAAGGCAGACACTTAACCGACTGAGCCACCCAGGAGCCCCCAGATATCACATTTAAATTCCAAATAAGAAGAAAGCCCAAGGAAATATTCCCTCAACTGTCATCAGGTAGAACTGGGTCACATGGCCACTCCCAGTTGAAAGGAAGCTGGGAGAAAAAGCATATTAGTTTCTGTTGCTGCTGTAACAAATTGCCACACAATTAGTTGCTAAAAGCCCACCAAGTTATTATTTTATAGTTCTGGAGGTCAGAAGTCCTAAAATCAAGGTGCTGGGCAGGATCCTTCCAGAGGCTGTGTGGCAGAATCCATTTCCTTGCCTTTTCCAGCTTCTAGAAGCTGCCTGCAGTCCCCTTGACTGGTGGCCCCTTATTCCATGTTCAAAGACAACAGTGTAGCATTTTCAAATCTCTGTCACTCTCTGACCTCTGCTTCTGTCCTCACATCTCCTTTTTCTTACTCGGACTTTCCTGCCTTCCTCTTGGAAGGACCTCTTACAGTGCGATTGTATTGGGTCCACCTGGATGATCCAAGATTATCTCTTCATCTCAACATCCTTAATCACATTAGCAAAGTCCCTTCTCCCATGTAAAATAACATAGTCACAGATTCCAGGGAGAATCTTGGGGAGGGGCGTTATTCTGTCTATCATAGTGTCTGCATTTCCCCCAGTGTGTATAGTGGGGAATGAATGTAGACAGAAGGGGGTCGTTGGCTTAGCCAACCAACAGTGTGTGACATCTTACCAATACGGATTTATTTCAGAGACAAGAGCACAGAAAGGATCCTGGGAAACAGGATTTCTTATCCTAATCTAGTCTGAGTTGACGTCAGTAGTCCCAATCCTTGGGGAGAAACTAAAAAGAGGATGCATTTTCTTGCTGTTCCTCTCTGGACTGTTCATGAGTGGACACTGATGAGTTGCTCTTTGTCCAGCAGGACCAGCAGGAGCCCTTGTCAGCAGAGGGAGCCCGGCTGCCCCATGCAGGAACTGAGGCTTCTCCTTTTAGGGAGCAGTGGTGCGGGAAAAAGTGCCACAGGAAACACGATTCTGGGCAAAACTGTGTTTGTGTCCAGATGTAGTGGCCAGATGGTGACGAAAGTGTGCCAGAGAATGAGCGGGGCCACGGGAGAGGGGAAGGTTGTGGTCATCGACACCCCCGACCTTTTCTCCTCCCTGTCTTGTGCCAAAGACAAGCAATACAACATCGAATGCTGTTTGGAGCTCTCTGCGCCCAGCCTCCACGCCCTGCTGCTGGTCATTCCCATCGGCCGTTATGAGGTGGAGGACCAACAGGCAGTCAGGGGCATCCACGAGTTGTTTGGAGCCGAAGCCAAGAGGTATATCATTATCGTCTTCACTCGGGAGGATGATTTGGAGGATGGCTCTCTGCAAGATTACATCAAAGGCGAGGAGTACCTCGCCGAGCTGGTTGAAAACCATGGAGGCCGATACTGCGCTCTGAACAACAAGGCAAGCGAGGAGGAGCGGGCCCGTCAGGTGAGGGGGCTCCTCTGCCAGGTCCAGAGGTTGGTGGATGAAAATGGAGGACCATATATCGTGAACTTCAGAAATGAAGGCAGCGGATTCCTGGTAAGACATTCTTAAGGTCTGCAAGGATCTTTCTTGCTAGAGCTCGTGGTGGATGATGGGCACAGATAAGGGAGGTGTGGTATTGTGTGATGGACCACAGGCTTTGTTTAAGGAGATATTTATCCATGATCTGCAAAGATGAGGCACCAGACGGTAGGGTGCTTTGAGTATTAGCCTTTGAACTTTGGACTTTATTACCAAATTAATGGATACATTTAAGTCCTTACCTAACTATATCCCTCACAGTATTGGACACACAAATGGACCCTCTCTTCCCTTGGCTTCAATACAACTACACTGTTTTTGTTTTCTTCCTCCTGCCCTTTCTGGCTACTCCAGAGATTCCCGAGCTCTCCTTGCATGGCCTCCTGAACACTGGCATCTTCTAGGCTTTCCTCAACTCTGCCTTCCAGCTTTGAGCTCTGTCGATCGCTAATGGTTTCCAGATTCATTCCTCCAGTCCAGGCCTCTCCTCTGAATCCTACTCCCTTATCCAACTGCTATTTGACATGTCCACTCGGCTCTCGTATAGGATCTCAGACTTCATATGTCCAGACTTTTGGTTTTCCCTCTGAAATCTTTAAGACTTCTGATTTCCTCTCAACTGGGTAAATGGTCGTGCTGCTCACCATGCTCTTCGAACCTAAACCCAGAGTTCAGCTTTGCTGCCCCTACTAGCTGGCAGCTGTTATCTGAGAAGTCATCAAGTCTTGTGGGGTCGGGGTGCCTGGAACCCACCCACTTCTCTCCATCTCTGCTGCCCCCCTAGTCCGGTCCACGCCAGCCTCGGTTCTTGCCTATCCTATCTTACGAACAACCTTCCCCTCATTCATTCTTGTGCCTTACCCTCAATCCGTTTCATACACAACAGCCAGAGTGGTATTTTATTTAATTTCTAAACCTGAACAGAAAATGTATTTGTAGCTAAGGAAGATACAAAAATTCAGGCTTTTGCCTTTGAGGAGCTTACACTTCGGTTTGAGTGACTCATGCATAAGACACAAAACAGTTCCAGATGCAGGGTAAGTAAGTGAATGTTGGTACAGAGGATTCTTAACGCAAGTGCCAGCAGAGGTAATCAAGCAATAATCCAGCGTGGGGGGTGGTGTTGGTCAGAGTGAAACTCTGAGAACTGATGAGTGTTAAGCCCAAACAGGATGGAAGTGAGAAGGAAGGCAATAATTATTGAGTACCTACTGAGTCCCAGACACATGAACGGATGAAGTCTCCACAAGCACTCTGTGTACTCATCTTCTACAGGTGAGGACCTTGAGGCGTGAGAGAACTTGTCACTCTCTTATCTCCTAGGTCTGCCCTCCCTCTCTCTCCTTTATAACCATCTGTCTCTCTCTTGAAGGCTGTCTGGAACAGGGATGTCCGCAGAGAGGATCCGGGCACAAGATGAGCTCTCTGCAATGTACCCTGAACACGACACCCTCTTGTTTAAAATGCTGCAGTGATTCTCCGCTGATCTCAGATCAAGTTCAGAATCCCTGACCTGAGCTGGTCCCTCACCCTCTAACTTGCTCTTCATGTGTTGGTCTCACTGGCCTTCCCTGTGGTCCTTGACTTGCATTCATGTCCACTCTGGAGGTTCCAACCTGTGATTTGTTTCCCCTGGACACTTCCCCTCTCCCATCTGACCATGTACCATGTCTGCTTTTGTGTATCCATCTGCCTCAGCGTGAGCTCACTTCCTCAGAGGGTCTTCCCTGCCGGCCCTTCCTTCCATCATGGCGCTCCTCACATGGCCCCACGAGTCAAGTGATTGCTGTGAATATACTTGCGGTGGTTGCCTCACCACAGACTCCTTGAGGGACGGAACCCAACCCATTTCCTTGACCCAGGATCTTACTTTTGTCATCCGTAAAACAAAGATAATAATACGTATCTCCGAGATTTCTGTGAGGAGTCAGTGAAATAAGTGCTTACAAAGTTATTTGCTAATACTTGAGATGTAAACATTCGGTGATTATCAGCTGCCATTATTATTGTTATTAGTATTGTTATGGATGTGTATAAGGTTCACATAAGTTATGGAGGCATTAAGGACTTTAACAACCCAGAGACTGACCCACTTTTAGGACTATTACCCAGAAATAAAAACATTCACATATATAAAGACGGATGTATAAGGATATTTATCATGGCATCTTTTGAAATAGTAAAGCCAGAAATAACCTGATAGTCATTACATCAGTACAGGATGTTCCATGCCCCATGCTGTGGAGCAAATAGCATCTCCTAAAAAAACGGTGTTGATCTACGCATACCGACTTGTACGGCTGTACAGCACATATTATGAAGCAGATTGCAGAACAAGATGCCTAGCAAGTCTCCCTGTGTGTTCGTATATGCCTGAGTGTATGCATATAAACTCAGAAAAATACAGAAGGGTGTATGTTAATTAGCAGCTGCTCCTTTTACAGTGAGTTAGAAATTTTAAAATTATTAATTTTTAGATCGTACATATTTGCATTGTAACAACCTTTGGCATTTAAAACACATGAAAGAATTTGAGTTGTGCTAGGTAAGATGAAAGAAGTCTGATGGTCAGAACTGCGAGGAGAAGATCCAGGGAGAGGGATGGTGGAAGGGATCCACAGCTTGGGGTAAGGCCAGGTAAGAAAGCAGAGGGAAAATTTCCTTGGCTGGCATGGTTAAAATAAAGTATTGGAAGCTTCTAGGAATAGCAGATTCATCAGGATTGTGTATCGTTTTTACCTTCTCTTTTGATTCTATGACAATTTAAATTTTGGGAGCGAGTCTGCTTTGCCAGGCAGGGGAAGGGAATACCAATTGTGTGTTTGGCTCCACTTGCCCACCTGGATGGGGAAAGTTCCAAATTTCCCTGGTTCTTATGTCAGAAGAAGCTTTATCTCTATCCTGGAGGTGCAGTGCGGGCAGAAGACACCAGAGGTGTGTGGGAGCTTCACACCCAATCTCCTCCCTTCCCCTGGTCCCTCAGATGAACATTCAGACACCAGTGGGCTATAGTTTTTTCTTCCAGGAAGTCCAGTAGCTCTTCTTAAGCCTCTAGATTTTCTCCAGGAACAGCAGAAACTCTGGAAGACTTTGAAACGAATTGCCATTACTATTGGGGACTGGGGAGAAGGAAAGTTGGAGCTTCAGGCTCAATGCCTTGGTTAGATGGCATTTGTGGGGCTCCTCTGAGCAAGAACAAGACCCATCTTCATACTTCTGGCAAGCCTGTTGTGGTGACAGCAGTGGGGTCTTAAGATCTACTGTCATTGTGGACGGGTCTACAGAAGCCAACAAGGAACATGACCATGGCCTTGATTTGACCACAGCCTCCTCATCAAATTACTCTGAATTATATACTTGTATCTCCATTTCTTTACTTTGCGAAAAGATGAAATTTTAGGTCCCTGTGCATCATTTTCCCCTTTATTTTCTAGGATTGTGTGAATGAAGCCACGTCTCAGAAGGAGGACAAGCCACATGGTAAGATGATCCTTAAAAATGTTAAGCTTACAGCTGTATCCTTTTGAATGCATCATGCATCAAAATGAAGTGGAGAAATTAGATAAGTAGGAACAAAGATGTACTCTGGAGGCCTAGCTCAGGTTGGTGTCCACAGCCTATCCCCCAGGGAACTCTTAACACTTGGGAGTAGGTTCTGGACATGGTGTGGGTGTCCTGGGCCTTCCCTGAAATGTTATGGAGGTGGGCTCGCTTTTCGTGGCTTCTTCCCCGACTCAGCCTTGTCTTTCTGGCCCTGGATCCAGAACTATATGATGTTGACTCCCCCTGGGAAAGCAGTAATCATCTTCATGGATAACACTCATTTGTAGAATTCAGTGGTGGAGGTCAGGATCCGTGTAATGATTGCCATTAATGATACATCCTGCACACTGCACAAGTCAGTTTGTATAGATCCACCTCATTCTGTTTAGTAGGTGCAATTTTGTCCACGGTAAGGGCGTACATGACTAATTCAACCATCCCTTTACTGATGGACTTTCAGGTTATTTCTGGACCAGCTCTGTGCAAGAACTGAATATTCAGCAGTGAATAAGATAGATGAGTTCTCTGTCCTCATAGAAGTCCCCCAAATAATAATGATAATAGTTATTATTAGTTCAATTTTAGTGATAATAATCACAATTAACATTACGTACTGTAAAAATATATAAATAATTCAATCTTTCCCGCATATAACATAATTCTCATAATAACCATACACATATATTCCTCTTAACAGCCCTATGAAGAGGGTGGTATTATCATTATTCTCATTTACAGATGAGTAAACTTAGCCCGAAATATGTGAACTCAGGCAGAAGTAGGGATTTAAAATTCTGTTGATGTCCTTCAGTCAAGACCTCCAGGAACTTTCGTGTTATGTCCCCAAATGATCCTCGTGGCCCTGAGGAAATAGCATGCCATGGGGAGCCACGGGGTATCTCAGAATGAGGGCATTGGAAGGGACTTTTGATAGGATGCAGACTTGTATGAGGTGATTTGGGGGAAAGTCGGAGCTTTCGAAGGCAACATAAGAAGGATGGCGCATCCTTCTTATGGCGCAACATCAGGTGCAGAAGGATGCGCCATCACTGGTGTTTCAGTGGCTTTCTTTGAAGGATGTTCATTCCATCTCCCAGACCTGCGGCTCAGACACCCAGGGACGGCTCAGACACCACCTCCCAGACCTGCGGCGCATAGCGCCCAGGATGCCTCAGACTCTGAATGTTTCCTGGAGTGGCTGACTCTGCCATTTGCTCAGCCTGTAGGTCTGGTGCTGACCTCGGATTGAGGAGACGTGGTGGGGCCACGGCATGAGGGCAGGGATAGTTTTGGGGCACAGGTCTCTACAGCCATTTATTGAGGTACAGTTAACAGAGTAAAATGCACAAATCTTAAGTGTATTAGCTCAATGACTTTTTACATATCTGCACATATGTGATCACCATGTAGATAAAGATCTGGAGCATTTCCATCACCTCACAAGTTTCTGCTGGGTCTCCCCAAAGGGAACTGAATCCAGACTTCTGGGAACATAGACTAATTTTGTCTGCTCTTGAACTTCATAGAGTGGGACCCGATAGCGTGTGGTTTTGTGTCTGGCTTCTTTCATTTAGCATGCTTTGGAGATCCATGCATGTTGCATATCAATAGTTCATTCATCCACTCATTCTTTCGTTTTGTTTTGGTTTGGTTTTTTTTTGATTGCTGAGTAGTATAACATTTTATAAATATACTACCAAGGGGCATTTTATTTTATTTTATTCATTTATTTTTTTTGAAGGGACATCTTAAACTCAGATTCTCCCTTGTCCTGCTTTAGCCCATGGACTTCATGGCCCAGGCACTTACCTTTGGTAGTAAAATGAAAGGAACTCTAAGGACCAAGAGCACTAAAGGCCAAGTTTAACATTTTCACGTTCCTGGGAAATCTGGAGCGTTTTACGTCTCTCTTCATTTATTCATGGCCCCTTTTGTGGCTTTTACTCGGGGAGGTAGCTTCTGACTGGGACTAGAGTTCTGCTGCTCAGAACACTACGGGCATTCTCTGTAAAAACGGACAAGAATGAGAAAGCATAGAACCTGTCCACATCTCTGCATTCAGCTGCAAGGAGAGACTCTGAATTTGCTCTTTTGTTCCTCCCAGGGCAAGAGGAGGAGCAGCTTCAGGCCCCAGGATGCGAGCCGAGCCCTGGGCCGTCGGAACTGAAGGTCTTGCTTGTGGGCAGGCGTGGAGCTGGGAAGAGTACAGTCGGGAACTGCCTTCTGGGGAAGCGAGAGTTTGAGACCAAATTCAGCGAAGAGTCAGTCACCCAGAGGTTTGTGTCTGGGAGCAGAATCTGGAGAGAGAGGAACGTTGTGATCCTTGATACTCCAGACATCTCGTCTTCAAAGGGCATTAAAGTGGAGCTCCAGAGACATGCCTTTGGGCGCCCCCATGCCTTCCTGCTGGTGACGCCTCTGGGCTCCTTCGCCGAGAAAGATGAGGCGGTACTCGACGCCATCCGGCGCAGTTTTGGAGAGAAATTCGTGCAGTACCTGATCATTCTCCTCACCAGGAAAGAAGACCTAGGGGATCAGGATCTACACATGTTCCTGAAAAACAGAAATAAAGCTCTCTACAAGCTCATCAAGGAGTGCAAAGACCGGTTCTGCGTCTTCAACTACCGAGTGACCGGGGAAGAAGAACAGCACCAGGTGGACAAGCTTCTGGAAACAGTTGAGAGTATGGTGCAGCACAATGGGGGCAGGCCCTGCAGCTTCAGAGGGGAAGGTACACGGTGTCTAAAACCATTTTCGAGATGCTTTCAGAAACTAGATATGAAATATACGAGAAGGGTGGAGAGAAGATAGAAAGGACAGGTCCAGTCTACTGACTAACTTTTCTCTTTCTCCAAGGTTACTGAAGTTATGTGCCTTTCCATGCACATAACTGTCTTTAATTCTCTCTGACCCTTCTCCCCTCTCTCCAACTGGATGGTGAAGGTCTTGAGGGAAGGAAATGAGCTTTTTCCAATCTCTTCTTTTCCCCACTGTGTGTCTGTTGCCCAGGGCTCAAGACTCAGTGCTGGTGATGACATAGATAGTTCTGGACCGTTGGTTTGATTTTCTCTTTCTCTTAAGCCCGCTCTGACACTCCCTCTCTCTTTCTCCCTCTCTTGACTTCTTGGTTCTTTACTCTTCTCTTTTTGGAGAGGGGAGGCCATTTTGAAGAGAGAAGGATGAGGACTGGGAGCCTGAATCCTCACATGGCACTAGATGGGTTTCTTAGCCCAGTCACACTACCCACGGCTTTAGCGGAAGTCCCCATGCCCTCAGGGCTACACGCTCTATTGCCCTGAGCTGAGATTCTTCCAGGTCAGCATGACTCACCCCTTTGTCTTCACTTCAAATGCCCTCCCCTGAGAAGAACACGGACTCAAAGGAGTGTATCTGTTTATGAGCCCTTTCATAGTCAGCACGGAGGGCCAGGTGCTGGGGGGCCTCCTCAAGAAGTATAGACATGCAGGAAGGTCAGGAGAGGCTGTGTGGGGAAAGCCCAATTTGAAATGGGCTTTGGAGAATGGGCAGGGTTTGGGTGGCTGTCAGTAAGCTGGAAGACGTTGCAGAGAATACTCCAGCAATCGGAAGCAAGGAGGTGGGACTAAGCCTATTGCCAACGGAGTGGCCATGATGGAAATGGAGGGTTCATGCCCCTGCCCGACGTGGGATGGGGATTATAGACCAGATCACAGAGGTTCTTGAGAACCACCCCCTCTGAGGATGTGGAAGCAGGGACTGAAATTGTGACAAATATGGGACTATTGGAAGATGAATCTTTAAGCATAGCTATGAGATTGGGGGTTCAGGATAAGCAATCCAATAATTTCCCCTGGAAGGAAGAGCACAGGGTAGGCTTTCCTCCCTCTTTGTTTTAAGGTGGATATGGGTAACTTGGCAAAGAATGTATAATTGAGAGAACTGTGAAAAGGCCAGCGTGGAAGAGAAAGACCACAGTACAAGTGCAGAGTTGTAAGGAGCCCCCACTAACACCCATTGCAAGGTCGCTAGCATCTGTCATTCCATTTTAAGGGACATCTGTTCTCCATCATCACTACACAAAACAGTGTGAGTGTACCTTCATTCTTACAACCACGAGGTGCCTTTCGACTCATCAATGAAAGACAACTCAGTTTAGTGTGGTTTTAATGAGAAATGAATTTTTGGTGATCCAAATGAAGGAACTAGGAATCTGTCAATGATATATGTAGTTGCTTTTTCATGAAAAGTCAATTCTGTGGAATAATTTTTCAAATCCATCAAGGAGATTTTGCTGCAGTTAGCATTGGCTAGCAACGGGAAGACATCGAGATGTGGGGGCTGGACGCAGCTGAGCGGGTGATGGGTAATAAAGCCAGCGACACTCACAGGGTGCCAGGGAGTCAGGGAAGTTACCAGAAGGAGGGAGTGAATTCAGAGATAGAAACAGTGCCATGTCATGGATGAGCACGGGGCAGAGATGGTGGTCCAAGTCATGCTTCTGGTTCTCAGAGCGAGTGCCCGGAACCGTGCTTGGGGATAGAGCTGCCGGGTGAGAGGGTGGCCAGGGTGCTCTCTGGGCATCCTCTGCCATGACGTCTGGCAGCACTTTGAAAGCTGCACCCAGGTCAGCTCGTGGCCACCAATCTTTCCTGCTTTCTTTTCGACAGATGCCCTGAGCATTGTCCTGGTGGGGAGGAGCGGCACTGGGAAGAGCGCCACCGGGAACACCATTCTTGGGAACCCCGACTTCCGCTCTCAGTTCCAAGCACAGCCAGTCACCCAGACGTGCCAGAGCAGCAAGAGGATGTGGGGCAAGCTGCAGGTGGTGGTTGTGGACACGCCCTTGCTCTGCCTGATGACCAGTGCCGAGGAGGGTCCGTTCCCACTGGAGGAGGAGGTCAGACGCTGTTTGTCCTGCTGTGAAGAAGGGAACAAGGTTCTGGTCCTGGTGTTCCAGCTGGGACGGTTCACTCCAGAGGACAAAAGGGCGGTGCAGGACTTGGAGAACATCTTCGGAGAGGAAGTTTTGAAGTACACGATCGTGCTGTTCACTCGGAAGGAGGACCTCGAGTCAGGGGACCTTAGAGACTATGTCCAGAATACAGATAACAAAACTCTTAAGAACATCATTAAAAGGTGTGGGGGGCGAGTCTGTGCTTTTAATAACAGAGAAACGGGCCAAGCCAGGGAAAACCAGGCAGTAGAGCTTCTGAAAATGGCTGATGAGCTGATAAAGAGCCATGGAGGGGAGGGGTACCCCCACGAATGGGAGAAAGTCAGCAAAATCATTAAAAATGCCCAGGAAAAGCCCAAGTCCACCAATTTACTGAAGAATTTAAAAGAGATTTTATCATAGGCAGCTGACGTGCCTGGGGGTCTCTCTAAGGTAGAGACACCCTCACTTGGGGACGGGGTGTGGTAGGACTGCTGGGATGGGAGGAGGCTCCAGGACGCTGGAGGCTTGGCAGGTGCATGCAGCTCAGTCTGTGCTGCTGCAGCTTTTTGTGGGTAAATGAATCATCAGGCTCGGCAGGGGATTGATTCTAAAGGAGAAAGAAGAAATTAGGTGGGGAAATTTGGAAAGAAGCTTCAGAGCTTGGGTGGTTTGGGGGGTCAAAATTAAGTCACATGAATCACCATGCCTGTGTATGTAGATTGGCATCAGGACAGACACTGCGACCAAGGCCAAGGCCAGCCTGCCGTCAAATACAGAGACCTACCCAAGGATCAGGGGATCCGGATCCATGAGAGCAGAGCCGTGAGCAGTGTCCCCGCCAACTCCTGGCATGGCAGAATGGAGAAGCCAGACTCATGTGGGTCTCCACATGCCCCGGACTGCTTGCCCGGCCTGCTGCGTGCCCCCCGCTTCCCCCCAGGGCTGCCTTGGCACCATTGGATAGGACTCAGGGCCAGCATGTCCCTTTCCTTACAGGGTGGCTATTCCAAGCCTGAATAGAAATTGGGACCCAGTCTACTCTTCTTTCTTGTCCCTTAGGAAATGAACATGAGTCTGGGAGGTTTTAAAAGACTTTATTGCTAACCATCGCAGTGAAATAGAGTAGAACAAAAATCAGACACATGGTGAAATGGCCAATTAGCCAATTGGTGCTTGCCAGTTGGCTAATTGGTGATTAGCCCATTTTGCAAAGTTCCAGAATTCTAAGTAGAAGTCTAGATCACCTCTAGAAAAGTTTATCGAAAACTCCTTTGCACTGGGTGATGGACACTGGGGAGGGTATGTGTTGTAATGAGCACTGGGTATTGTATGAGACTGATGAATCACTGACCTGTAGCCCTGAGACAAATGATACATTATATGTTAATTAATTGAATTTAAATAAATAGGTACACAAAATTTTTAAAAAAGAACACTCCTTTGCACTTTTCTCCTTTTTTAATCCCTGAGGGTTCGAAATTAGGGTAAAGCTCATAGAACTCAAGTAATAATGTCTTGACCACACTAAGGGCTTATTGTGTCTTATGTCAGGAAGTCCAAGGGGAGGCAGTCCGAGGCTGGTGTGGCCTCCACGCTTACGATCACTTCTCGGGTCCAGGTATGGTGGTTTCTGCCGAGGCCGAGCAGATGGTATTGAGGGCTGCCTGGTTCGGGCGATATACGAGGCGAGAACTATGGCGTCTTCTCCCAGCTAAGCGCGGTCAGATGTTATCACTATTAACCATTTTGTGTATGCTTTGAGGACAGGATCTATGTAATCTGCTTTTGTTTTTTCAAATTATCCATTGCCTTCAAGTTTAACCCATTTATCAGAGCATGGACTGTCACCATTAATATGTTGTACTCTCCATAACCCTGAATATGACAAATTCTGGATAATGTGTGTATAAATATATTGGGTTGAATGAAATAATAAAGGTGAATTATTTTATAAACTCACATCCTCCTGGTTGCTATTTTTCTGACTTGGAGGAAGAGCCCGCCTCCATGGAGAGGCCATGCAGATGTTTATAGACACCCTGACTCTGGTGAGGTTTTTGCATCTTTGGTGCATGAGGACCTTCAGAGTGGGTGACAGCCACTTCTTTACTGGGCGTCTGCCAGCTCAGGAATCCCCCACTCCAGGCATTTCACTGTGGCAAGGACAAATAAATTAGAACCAGGAGCATGGGAGGAATAAAGTCTGGAGGGCATTTTGTGCCTCTTTCCAGAGCTTCCCTTCTGTTGGAAGGTAGGCACAAAGCCCAGTGCCCTACCCATGGTTGAGCAGGTGGCATTGGGACCTGCATGAGGCAGGGGATGTGTGGGCTAAGCCATGCGACATTTTCTCCCAGGTAGGACCTAACATCCATCCCCACTTTCCTTTAGGACCACGCTTGAGGGGCTGGACAACACTGCTGTGTCAGTTCCCCCAAGGGGCACAGGCTGGGAGTTAGGAGTGCAAGAGGTTTCCCCAGGGGCAGGGGACGAAGTAATGACTGTTAAAGACTAAAGAGGAAGCAGAATCGGGCTGAGAGAGCTTTCACACTGCAATGCAGATCTGACACTTGCCAAAGGGAAGGGGTCCGGTGCTGCCTGGGTAGGGAGAGTAGCACCCTCGACAAGTCGGCTCCGTCTGAATAGGGAGTTCTAGGGCAAAGACTGACGCATAGCAACGATATCCTGCATTGGGTGGATGCTGGCGGCTCCTCGGTGCTCAGCCCTTGGCTAAGGGCTGCCTGGGAAGGGTATGGCTTTGGCCCAGAAGCTGAAGTGGGTCCTGAAAGTGTTGCAGCTGGAGATTGCCAGCTAACTGCCCTCCTTGGAGGAGAGTGGAAGTTTTCCTTTCTTTTTCTTTTTTAAATGCTGTACGTTAGATCCCCGGAAGTTATTCATCTTATAGCTGGGAGTTTGCACATTTAGACTAACATCTCTCACCCCTCCACACCCCCAACTAGCCCCCCAAAACCACCATCCTACTCTCTGTTTCTATGAGTTAGAGTTTTTTGGATTCCGTGTGTAAGAGAGATCATAGAGTATTTGTCTTACTCTCTCTGACTTATTTCACTGAGCATAATGCCCTCAAGATCCATCCATGCTGACACAAAGGACAGGATTTCCTTTTTTTTTTTTTTTTTTATGGCTGAAGAATATTCCATTGTCGATATATACCACATCTTCTTTATCCATTCATCTGTTGATGGACACTGAGGTTGTTTCCATGTCTTGGCTATCGTGAATAATGCTGCAATGAACAGGGTAAGGGGTGCCGATATCCTTCAACACCTGATTTCATTTTCTTTGGATATACACCCAGAAGTAGGATTGATGGATCATATGGTAGTTGTCTTTTTAATTTCTTTTTTTTTTTTTAAAGATTTTTTTTATTTTAAGTAATTTCTACACCCAACATGGGGCTTGAACCTGATGACTCCGAGATTTAAGAATTCCACACCCTACCAATTGAGCCAGCCAGGCATCCCTATTTTTAATTTCTTGAAGATTCATACACTGTTTTCTTCAGTGGCTGCACCAATTTACATTCCCACCAACAGTGTATAGGGTCCCCTTTCTCCACATCCTTGTGGACACCTGTTATCGCTTGTCCTTTTGATAATAGCCATTCTCACAGGGGTGAGGTGATATCTCCTTGTGGTTTTGATTTGCATTTCCCTGATAATCAGTGATGTTGAGCATCTTTTCATGTATCTGCTGGCCATTTGTATGTCTTCTTCGGAAAAATATTTGTTCAGGTCCTTTGCCCGTGTTTTAATCAGATTGCTCTTTTTTTTTTTTGCTATTGAGTTGTCTGAGTTCCTTTTAAACTTTGGATGTTAACTCTTTCTCAGATACATCATTTGCAAATATTTTCTCCCATTCTGTACGTTGCTTTCTCATTTTGTTGTTTCTTTTGCTTTGACGTTATCCCACTTGTCTATATTTGCTTTTGTTGTCTGTGCAAAAAAATTATTGCCCAGACCAATATCAAGGAGTGTTTCCCTGAGCTCTCTTCTGGTAGTTTTACCATTTCAGGTCTTACACTTAAATCTTTAATTCACTTCAAGATCATTTTTGAATAATACAAGTCCAGTTTCATTCTTTTGCATGTGGATATCCAGTTTCCCAACACCATTTATTGAAGAGACGATCCTTTCCCCATATATTCTTGGCTTCCTTGTCAAAGATTACTTGACTAAATTTTCTTGAAGGGAGAGCCTTCGAGAGTGGTGCACCTTTGTAGCTGTCACATTCGCTCCCTGCGGAGCCTCTTCTCCATCTATGTTTGGAGACCAGTTCCTGTAGGGTTCCACTGGGTCTCTCTTCCTGTGAGGCAACTAAAAGTGGAAGATTTCTAGGATGAACTGCGGCCCTTGTCGCTGCATTCTATCTTGGGCTGCATGTAACTCACGGTCTTCCTCCTCCACCGCTCCTTCCCGTTCCCCTCACCTTCAGCTTTCATTTCTGTTCATGTCAGTGTTTACCTGTTGTGTGACCCACACTCTTGTTCCTGAAGGATCTGAGACCCTGGTAAGACTCTAAGACTCTCAAGCATATGTGTCTTAGCAAGGCCACTAAATGCTGGCTATGAATTTCTCATCCTGCCTGTTCAGCGAGGTATCATTGATGTAAGGGGGTGGCTCACTACTGAGAATGACCTTGCCCCGCAGGGTAGGTTAAGCAATCTCTAGAGACATCTTTGGTTGTCATAGCAGGGCAGTGCTACTCACATGCAGTAGCTGGGGGCCAGAGATGCTGCTAAATGTCCTACAATACACAGGACAGTCTGCATAACAAAGAATGATCTGGCCCAATATGTCAGTAGTAGGGAGACTGAGAGACCCTGATACAATGGATCATTGTGGTGTATTGAAGGAAGTCCAGATGTTCCAGCTCTCTTTGGATTAGAGAGTGGGAGAAGTAACTTGTAAGGAGGTGGTTTTTCCTTATTCACAGTGTTTCTGTTCAACTAGTGCATTGCATATATACCTATTTGTCACATGGGGTCATCCAATGTCCCCAGACCACCCCCCCAAGCCTCCCCTTCCTCACGGTGACCCCTTTCACTTCCTCTTCTCGCTCTTCCTGCCCTGAAAAAGACCTTGTGCAGAATGTGGCATTTGTGATGAGTTTAACTTCCAGAGTAAAAAAAAAAAAAAAAAAGTGTGCTGATAACGAAAAGATAGAAAATTTGAAAAAAACTTCATCTCTTATCCCATCGTTACAATGGTTGATGCCATGGACCCCTTGGTCCAACCTTCCCTACTGCCATATTATGCTTCTCCCCAGCAGACTGAGACATCAGCATGTCTCACCTTCCAGTTTTCCAGGAGAGGCAATGCGATGCTAACAAGAAGACTTTGTGGTCATAATTCTCGCATTTATTTCTGAGAATAGACACAGGATGTACTTACCAGATCGGTGTGAAATCTACCTGTGAACAACATGACACACTTTGCTCTTCAGCTACAAACACTTCCTGTTTTTCTCTTCTCACCTAAACCTGTATTCAAAAATGTTAGTGGGCGGGCCTGTGTTTTCTGCTCCCCAGATTAAAAGGGGTCAAGCCTGGGTCAGGTGTTATGCCCCAAACATAGCCTTTGGAAATATATTTGTAATTTGTCTGTACTAAGGCTACAGTAATTTAAAATGAGGTCATTTACGTTATAAATGTCTTCCTAGCCCTCAATCTTCCTGCTTTTGCTGCCCTCCAGAGCCCCTGCTAGTTCTAGTTTGTTTTCCTTGGGTATATTTCTGAGGTTCCCCAAAGGATGAATTCTATAAGCTCCTGAAAACTTCTGGGACCTGCCATGTGGTACTTACCATGCTTTTCTTCTTTTCCCGACATGAATCCTCTGCTGGGTACTGCTTTCAAGGCACTGTTATCAACAGGCATGGCTCTCAGTCTTACTGGTCACCATGTCTTCAGGTTGTCAACATTGCCAGGTCTACCAGGGACTGGAGCATTCGCCAAACACCTCTGTATTTCTTCTGGGCTATGAGGTTCTTGTGGGCACCACTGTGGTTCTGCTGGCCACTCATCCCCTTCCTCCCTGGGTTACCTACACTGGAAGCGGTGACACACTCCATTGAGGCCCACACTAAGAATCCTGACTTAGACTAAAATCCTCAACAAAATACTAGCAAATTGAATACAGCAACTTAAAAAAGAAGTGTAGACCATGAGAAGTAAGCACCATCTAAAAATACGTATACCTGGGATTTAACCCTGGGAATACAAGATTGGTTCAATATATAAATATTGATCAGTGAGTTTTACCGCATTAATAGAATGAAGGACAAAAATCCCATGATTCTCTCAATAGATGCAGAAAAAACATTTGACAAGATCCAACACCCATGATAAAACACTCGATAAATTAGGAAGAAATATAATCGTGGTGTACTTCACAATGGTCCAAACTCCTTGGTAGTT